GGCATGGAGCTTTTCAAGGACCGGCCATTTTGCTTTGGGACCAGCTGCAGCTGCAAAAACAGATATTTTATTTAATTAAAACTATGAGCCAAACTTTTTTTTTCTCCGAAAAACACGTTGCAACAATGTAATATTTGCGGCAGACAATTTTTTATTTTTCCAACAATATGACAATGAAAAGATTTTAGTACTTTAATGTCATGTATTATAGTAATGGAAAACTGCATTATTTAGACACCAACGACTTCAATATATTGGCTTCATGTATTTCATTTTTGCAATTTGTATACTAGTATTTATGTTTAGCACTATCTTATAAAACCAGCTGTGGTCATGTTATTACCTGGAGAGGTATTTACATGAGCTAGTTTTGTTTGGTTACCGATCCTTTTGAAATAATAAAATGTATGTAAGCCAAAATTCGATTAAAATTACATATTTGCGATATTAGTTACTCGGCAAAATATTCCCATTCTGAGCTGCCGTTTTCTGTGAACAATGTGCAATATGAGATGTGGACTGCGTCGTGTATATACGGAGACGCTTATTGAGAGTACTTACAGATTGAACTTAAAGTTGGTCTGGGGGCGTTTATTGGACACGGGAGCTTAAAGGGGCACTGATCTAACGCAATTCCCCGGGACTGGTTGTTGCCTTTGTTATTGTTTTTTCCCAGTGAGTACCCGGATGTATAGCAGAAATCTAGACTAGTTCGCGACCTCTGCTGCGCCATTCGTAAGCGCATTAGTCACTTTTATGGGTAGTAATAAGGGCGTATGGTCACATTGATCAACAAAATGAAATACTGTTTTCGAGAAAATAAGGAAATGTAGGTATCTTTGTGGGTAGCATCGGTAATGGTGACGAAGTTTTGATAAGTCACTTGCTTGGTAATTTTGCGATTTTCGTTTACACTATTTTGACTTGCATCACAAAGTAAATATTTCACCTGAGCATTGCTTTTTTATAGTGTGTATATTTACGGCGAATACGGTACGTGTAAGAACCAACCAAAATGACTCGGGTGGCTAGGTGACAGCGATATCTGCGTGTTATCGTTTCCCGTAGGCGTTGATCGTTGCTCATAATATCAGTCACTGGTTTGTCTGGTCCAGATTGTTTACATGACGGCGTGATGGGTATTGCTCATTCGTGACCAAATCGTGTTATTCCGGGACAAGCCGAATACGTTACGGAAAGGGGCGAGTGGTGACGGAGGCCGAACAAGTAATCGACCTCCTCCCAACCGCCGTACCCACCGAGCCAACGATTTACGCCAGAATCTCCACGCGGTTATTGTGAAGGGACATCGCCCCCATCACGCGTTATTGTAAACTATACTCGTTTTATGTTGGGCTCAATGTATTCACAAACCCCACCCAACCCAGTTACCGAACACATTCAGATCTTAGTGTCTTGTTTAAGTTTAAGACACACCCATACCCCAATACAAACTATAGTTTGTTGTTTAGCTTTGAGTGATGTGTCCAGTGTTTTTGTCTTATTATGTGAATACTGAAACCCGGTTTTCTAAGTCCAAATGGGCGTGGCCAAAAACCCACCCCACCCCTTTCATGTCACCCCAACCACTCTCACACATCGCAAAATATTATCACATGAGAGTTTGTGTCGGACTGTCAGCATATTGACATAATAATAGGTCTTCAGCAACCCATGCTTGTCGTAAAAGGTGACTATGCTTGTCGTAAGAGGCGACTAAAGGGATCGGGTGGTCAGGCTCGCTGACCTGGTTGAAGCATGTCATCGTATCCCAATTGCGTCGATCGATGCTCATGATGTGAAGCACTGGATTGTCTGGTCCAGACACGATTATTTACAGACCGCCGTCATATAGCTGGACTATTGCTGAGTGCGGCGTTAAACAACAAACCAACCAACCAACATACTAATATACTACTCAGCATTTGCTAAGGACCACGCCTTTGATTAATAGTGATTATCTTTTAACCTTAGAAATATTGAGTAATATATTATTTCTCTGATATCCAGACTTTGCATTAACCCGCAATGAATGAGTAGTGTCATCTTTTATCCAGAAGCTAAAGTGGACCACGTTGCGCCACTGTTGTCTTTTTTTACGTCACGGATGGTGTACATGCACTTGAAACTGACACATCACCTGTGACAATAATTAATCTCGCAGCGTTAATTGTGAATCATTTGAATAAATATAGATTCCTCCTTGATATGCCTCACATCATTACTGGGTCATTGAAAGACGAAGTGATGGGAACTGTTTGTGTGTTGTGCAGGGTAACTAACAACCACAGGTTTTGTGTTGTGCAGGGTATAAACTCACAAGTACAGGTTTTGTGTTGTGCAGGGTATAAACTCATTAGTACAGGTATTGTGTTGTGTAGGGTATAAACTCACAAGTACAGGTTATGTGTTGTGCAGGGTATAAACTCACAAGTACAGGTTATGTGTTGTGCAGGGTATAAACTCACAAGTACAGGTTTTGTGTTGAGCAGGGTGTAGAATATAAACACACAAGCACATGTATTGTGTTGTGTAGGTTGTAGAATATAAATCCACGTGTACAGGTATTGTGTTGTGTAATGTATAAACTCACAAGTACGGTTACTGAGTTGTGCAGTGTATACATTCATAAGTACAGGTATTGTGTTATGCAGGGTAACTAACAACTGCAGGTATTGTGTTGTGCAGGGTATAAACTCACAAATACAAGTATTGTGTTGTGTAGGGTATAAACTCACAAGTACAAGTATTGTGTTGTGTAGGGTATAAACTAATTAGTACAGGTATTGTGTTGTGTAGGGTAAAAACTCAAAAGTACAGGTATTGTGTTGTGTAGGGTATAATTCACAAGCACAGGTATTGTGTTGTGTAGGGTATAAACTCACAAGTACAAGTATTGTGTTGTGTAGGGTATAAACTAATTAGTACAGGTATTGTGTTGTGTAGGGTATAAACTCAAAAGTACAGGTATTGTGTTGTGCAGGGTATAACTCACAAGTACAGGTATTGTGTTGTGTAGGGTATTAGCTCAAAAGTACAGGTATTGTGTTGTGTAGGGTATAAACTAATTAGTACAGGTATTGTGTTGTGTAGGGTATAAACTCAAAAGTACAGGTATTGTGTTGTGTAGGGTATAACTCAAAAGCACAGGTATTGTGTTGTGCAGGGTATAACTCACAAGTACAGGTATTGTGTTGTGCAGGGTATAAACTCACAAGTACAGGTTATGTGTTGTGCAGGGTATAAACTCACAAGTACAGGTTTTGTGTTGAGCAGGGTGTAGAATATAAACACACAAGCACATGTATTGTGTTGTGTAGGTTGTAGAATATAAATCCACGTGTACAGGTATTGTGTTGTGTAATGTATAAACTCACAAGTACGGTTACTGAGTTGTGCAGTGTATACATTCATAAGTACAGGTATTGTGTTATGCAGGGTAACTAACAACTGCAGGTATTGTGTTGTGCAGGGTATAAACTCACAAATACAAGTATTGTGTTGTGTAGGGTATAAACTCACAAGTACAAGTATTGTGTTGTGTAGGGTATAAACTAATTAGTACAGGTATTGTGTTGTGTAGGGTAAAAACTCAAAAGTACAGGTATTGTGTTGTGTAGGGTATAATTCACAAGCACAGGTATTGTGTTGTGTAGGGTATAAACTCACAAGTACAAGTATTGTGTTGTGTAGGGTATAAACTAATTAGTACAGGTATTGTGTTGTGTAGGGTATAAACTCAAAAGTACAGGTATTGTGTTGTGTAGGGTATAACTCAAAAGCACAGGTATTGTGTTGTGCAGGGTATAACTCACAAGTACAGGTATTGTGTTGTGTAGGGTATTAGCTCAAAAGTACAGGTATTGTGTTGTGTAGGGTATAAACTAATTAGTACAGGTATTGTGTTGTGTAGGGTATAAACTCAAAAGTACAGGTATTGTGTTGTGTAGGGTATAACTCAAAAGCACAGGTATTGTGTTGTGCAGGGTATAACTCACAAGTACAGGTATTGTGTTGTGTAGGGTATAAGCTCAAAAGTACAGGTATTGTGTTGTGTAGGGTATAAACTCAAAAGTACAGGTATTGTGTTGTGTAGGGTATAAACTCACAAGTACAGGTATTGTGTTGCGCAGGGTATAAACTAACAACTACAAGTATTGTATTGTGTAGGGTATAAACTCAAAAGTACAGGTATTGTGTTGTGTAGGGTATAAACTCAAAAGTACAGGTATTGTGTTGTGTAGGATATAAACTCAAAAGTACAGGTATTGTGTTGTGTAGGGTATAACTCACAAGTACAGGTACTGTGTTGTGTAGGGTATAAACTCACAAGTACAAGTATTGTGTTGCGCAGGGTATAAACTAACCACTACAAGTATTGTATTGTGTAGGGTATAAACTCAAAAGTACAGGTATTGTGTTGTGTAGGGTATTAACTCACAAGTACAAGTATTGTGTTGTGTAGGGTATTATCTCACAAGTACAAGTATTGTGTTGTGCAGGTACAAGTACAAGTATTGTGTTGTGTAGGGTATAAACTCAAAAGTACAGATATTGTGTTGTGTAGGGTATAAACTCAAAAGTACAGGTATTGTGTTGTGTAGGGTATAACTCACAAGCACAGGTATTGTGTTGTGTAGGGTATTAACTCACAAGTACAAGTATTGTGTTGTGTAGGGTATAAACTCAAAAGTACAGGTATTGTGTTGTGTAGGGTATAAACTCAAAAGTACAGGTATTGTGTTGTGTAGGGTATAACTCACAAGCACAGGTATTGTGTTGTGTAGGGTATTAACTCACAAGTACAAGTATTGTGTTGTGTAGGGTATTAACTCACAAGTACAAGTATTGTGTTGTGCAGGTACAAGTACAAGTAATGTGTTGTGCAGGGTTTATGGTCAAGGGTCAGAACAGGTAGAATCTGGGATTCAAACCCACGAAAACGTTCTAGAATAGAAAGATAGAATTGAATACAATGATGATAAACGTATCTGTTCCAGTCCATGGGCAGTCATTTCATCGATCACGTCATCAAAAAGAGCATGGAGGGACTCTCGTCAGACAAGTACGCTGTGTTGGACGATCACACACATCCTCACCATGAAGTCACGTTGTGTCAGATGACGTTGTTTGTTATCTACGTCGGCGTGACGTTCCTGTACGCAGTCAGAGCGCCACGCTCCTTTGTCAGGGGTAAACAAGACGAACCCGAACCGGATGTGGAAAGAACACGTGACACAAAGCCAGTCACCAATCACGTTGCAGTAGAAGTTAAGGATGCTAATGACTCAAACGTTGTCAAAGAGAGCGAGAAAGCAAGTGTCCAAACCCCGAAGAGGCCCCCACCACCTCCACCTCCAACTTTTGACGCTTTCCTCAAATGCATCATTGTGTTTGGTGCCATCATGGGGTATTACTTTCTCTGCGATTACATCAAGGTATGTCCAAGGTATCCCAAAACGACCCGTTGTTATTAATTTATTGCTTATTCTCTCTATGGCACACCCGTATCCACCCGAGGCTTGTCGTGCGAGGCGCTTACACGGATCGGATGGTCAGGATGGTTGTGTGCTAGCAATTGTTAAACGGACGATGCTCATAATATCAATCACTGGTTTTTCTGGTCCATTATTAACAGACTTCCGTCACAGAGCTGGAATATTGCTGATTCACCTTGAACAGTAACAAAAATAAAAAAATAAAAAAGTAACAAAATAAACATTGTTTCATATGCGAACAATGAATATTATAATATGCGCATTTTCAGAATGACCTGAGTCTTTTGACTCCCAGTGGGGATTTCCCGGTAGAATAATAGATCCCAAGTACCCATGCTTGTGTACACAGTAGACTTCTGTAAGGTGTGATCTGGCTGAGTGCATGCCATCTTTTCCGACGGTGTGTATCATTGCTCACTGTTTCAACCACCGTTGTGCTTGACAAAGACTCGACCACATGTATTTACAGGCCGTAAAGATCCGGGTTAGGTCCATGCTTGCTGTAAAAGGCGACTATGCTTGTCCTAAGAGGCGACTGACGGGATCGGGTGGTCAGGCTCGCTGACTTGGTTGGCGTCTCTTAGGCGGGCCAGAAGTCTATGATCATGGGTTCGAATGCTGGTTATGATTATGGAAGCATCATACCCGTGCTCGTGGATTTGCCTGAAGTGGTAATCATCTCGTCTAAAACCTGCATCACATCTGCTGTCGGGCACTGCAACAGCAGTCGTCTAAGGCGCCCGCGATTCGCTGTGCAGAGTTGCGTCCCTTGGGCACGCCAGAAACCTATGATTGTGGGTTCGCCCCGATTGTGTTTCTAGGTTTGTCGGCACCATACCCGTGCCACCGAAGTAGCAAACGTCTGAGACCTGCATCACTTCGGGCTTTCCTCCCACATTAAGCTGACACGCCGTGATATAACTGGAGTACTGTTAAAAGCGGCGTTAAACCCAACTCACTCACTCACACATCATGATGACGTGACGTGATATAACTGCAATAACGGCGTTTAACCAAACCCAGTAACTTATTTTGATTTTGTGCTTGAAAATGCTGAGACTGTCAGCAACATTATGAAACAACATACTATGTGACGTGTCTCCTGCAGGTGTTCCCCGCCGAGCCCCGCGTGTACAGCCGGGACACCTTTCTGTTCCTGGTGTTCCTCCTGTTCCTCGTCGCGTGTGTGTTCACCATCCGGCCAACCAAGGACATCATTCTTAACAGGTGAGACGCCTCTACTGTTTAGGGTGAGCTTCACAAGGCTAGGTGTAAACATATACCTGCTTCCTCTGCGATATACTTTATTATTTTATTATATATAGATATCTGTGTGACTGTTGGCAGTAGATTTATTTAACAGACATGCGACAGATCGCAACCGATACGCCTACGTGTAGTGGGAGTTTAAATATATATGATTATGCCATTATACGGAAGCCCTTTAGGGCCATTTGCTTTTTTATTTTTTTCGATACTATCTTGAAATTTCAAGATACTAAGTTGAAATTTCAAGATATAGAAGTTGAAATTTCAAGATAGTATCGAAATTTAAAAAAAGGCTTCCGTACTATTATGTCACTATTGTCTGCACGGACCTTTGGTAATTTATAATAAGCATAAGCATCGTAATCTATATATCTGTATAAATGCAGAGTTGTTAATGTTGATGGTGGTGAGACGAAGACGGCGACGACGACATGATAATGATGATGATGATAGCAGCGTATGCCACAGTTTGAATAAACAATTTTACCAGGATACGAGTCCAAACTCATTAAAATCAGATCTTAGTTCTCGCTATCGCTAAACAAAGATCTGAGGACATCCCATTACGGGTCACGGGTCAGAACGACCTTTCATTCGACCAATCAAAGCGTCGCTTACCAGATCATGAAAGTGACAATCGGAATGTGTTTTCTAATCATGCAACCTCGAAAACGCTAACACGGGGTATTCCGAACCACAGTTACGGCCCGTACGACTAATTCCGTCAAATTGTGTCAACATATTTTTCCAAGCGTAGTCTGAAATAGATGTCGCTAGGTTAAAACGAGTGCCGCAAAGCCCTAATTGGCTGATGTCGACTACTTGTTAGTCCTTTCAGTGGTCGGTCAACTTCGCGAATGTCGTTCTGACGTGACCCGTAATGGGATGTCCTCAAATCTTTGTTTAGCGGAAGCGAGAACTTAGATCTGATTTAAATGAGTTTGATACGAGTCTTGTGGTTGATGGGTGATCAGTGTGTACACTGTGCTCAACGTCAACGTCCATTCCGGGGTAGAATAGACCCCCATCAACGTATGCGGGTCGTTAGGGGCGGCTACATCGATCGGGTGGTAGGGCTTGGTGACTTGGATGATTGCATGTCATCGTCATAATATCAATCACTCGATGGTCTTTATGTTCAGGCCGCCTACTATAGCTGGAATATTGCTGAATTTGCAGTCAGAAGATAAACAGTTTATGATGGGCAAATTATGAATAGTATAACATAAATAACCCCACGTACGCACATTCATTATGTCTGCATAACGTTGTCTCGTGTCCAGGGAGCAGACGGAGGAATGGAAGGGCTGGATGCAGGTGATGTTTGTGTGGTACCACTACTTCGCGGCCAAGGAGTGGTACAACTGGATCCGAGTCTACATCGCCTGCTATGTCTGGATGACAGGATTCGGTAGGTAGTAGGGAGGGGTTGGAGTCTAAATGACAGGATTCGGTAGGTAGTAGGGAGGGGTTGGAGTCTAAATGACAGGATTCGGTAGGTAGTAGGGAGGAGTTGGAGTCTAAATGACAGGTTTCGGTAGGTAGTAGGGGTGGGTTGGAGTCTAAATGACAGGATTCGGTAGGTAATAGGGGTGGGTTGGAGTCTAAATGACAGGATTCGATGGGTAATAGGGGTGGGTTGGAGTCTAAATGACAGGATTCGGTAGGTAGTAGGGAGGGGTTGGAGTCTAAATGACAGGATTCGGTAGGTAGTAGGGAGGAGTTGGAGTCTAAATGACAGGTTTCGGTAGGTAGTAGGGGTGGGTTGGAGTCTAAATGACAGGATTCGGTAGGTAGTAGGGAGGGGTTGGAGTCTAAATGACAGGATTCGGTAGGTAATAGGGGTGGGTTGGAGTCTAAATGACAGGATTCGGTAGGTAGTAGGGAGGGGTTGGAGTCTAAATGACAGGATTCGGTAGGTAGTAGGGAGGAGTTGGAGTCTAAATGACAGGTTTCGGTAGGTAGTAGGGGTGGGTTGGAGTCTAAATGACAGGATTCGGTAGGTAATAGGGGTGGGTTGGAGTCTAAATGACAGGATTCGATGGGTAATAGGGGTGGGTTGGAGTCTAAATGACAGGATTCGGTAGGTAGTAGGGAGGGGTTGGAGTCTAAATGACAGTATTCGGTTGGTAATAGGGGTGGGTTGCAGTCTAAATGACAGGATTCGGTAGGTAGTAGGGAGGGGTTGGAGTCTAAATGCCAGGATTCGGTAGGTAGTAGGGAGGGTGTTGCAGTCTAAATGACAGGATTCGGTAGGTAACAGGGAGGGGTTGCAGTCTAAATGACAGTATTCGGTGGGTAGTAGGGAGGGGTTCGAGCCTATATGACAGGGATTTGTAGGTATTAGAGGGGGTTCCAGTCGCAAGATACGGCTGGGCGATTTTCGCCTGCTGTCTTTTGATAGGGAGTAGGCTCTTTACAAGGACTAGGGTCGAATAGTGTGTAATGTTACTGATTTAATGTAGTTCTTCGATTTTTGTTACAGTAAAGAAATAGCGCATTTGTCTCAAAGTGGATTTTTTTGTGACAATAAGTGTGTATTATCTAATTACATTCAGCGATTCTCTTAACCCAACACCATCCATCTGAAATCGGGTTCCTCTTCAGTAATCATCAAGCGATTGGAGATTTGATGACAGAAATAACTAACGTATTCCATATCTGACATCATTGCTAATCTATTGCAATAAATAGCGTGTCAAGTATTTCCAGTAGGTATCAACAGTAAGGCACATTTACAAATATATTAATCGTTTTTGTTTCGCTCTTGCTAGATATCGCCTTCTAAAACGCTTTTCTTTCTATCTTTCAGGTAACTTCTCCTTCTTCTGGGTCAGGAAAGACTTTTCCCTATGGCGAATTATCAAAATGATGTTCAGACTGAACTTCCTCGTCATTTTCGTCGTCATGACAACCAACAACGAGTACATGTTGTATTACATCTGCGCCATGCACACCTACTGGTTCATCACGGTCTATGTGTTCATGCGCGTTCTCAACAGCTGGAACCAGAACAGGATAAAGATGGCGGTCAAGTTTGCCGCTTACATAATATGCAACGCCCTTATATTTGAAATCTCTGGAGCGTGCTCAACCCTATTCCGTCCATTGTGGTTCATATTTGGTCTGCACGAGACGAAACACGACATCATGCATGAATGGGAGTTCAGAGCTGGACTGGACCACTGGGCGTGTCTGACCGGGATGCTATGCGCCTACAACTATCCTTACTTTGAGGCTTTATTGAAACGACTTGAAAAGGAAGCGAACAGCAGGAGAGAAAAATACACTCAAATAGGCGTCAAGATTATCATGATCGTAGTTGCCCTAGCGGTCGGTGTGCTGTGGTATACAACGTTCATGCGTAAAGACAAATATGCGTACAACAGAACACACTGTTACTCATCCATGATCCCAATACTTGTTTTCATTGTGCTAAGGAACTGCTTTCCTGTCCTCCGGCGACACTACATCCATATGTTCGCGTGGCTAGGCAAGATCACCCTGGAGACATATCTCTCACAGCTCCATATATATCTCCAGTCGAATGCCAAGGATTTGCTTGGCTATCTTGTAGATCAGCCGCTTCTGAATTTCGCTCTAGCAACCATCATTTACCTGCTCGTCTCATACATGTTGTTTCATCTAACCACGGAATTCAGTTCATTCTTGATACCCAAAGACTTGAGCGTGGTGTCCAAATACGCCGTCACCGGTGCCATCGTTGTTGCTGTTGCTGCCGCAGTTGCATTTGGGATTCAGGTGTCTCTAGGGGGACATATTCTTGTGTGAATGTCACTGGTATAGAAGAATGAAATGACACTTGCAGTGCTTGCATTCATTAAGGGTATATGATAAGGTGGCATTTACTCTGGGAATTGTTTATGATTTATTTATTACATTTTTGCGAGTGGTATATTATGTTCTTTGCGAATGCAGGGGAAGAACCTGTTGATTATGACTGAACCCGATGGATATGAGTGATGGGTGGGACCACAACGCGTGTAGTTATCTTTTCACGCTTTTCCCTGCCATGCTCTGTCCTCTAGTACAACACGTTGATTAGGGAGGTATGGTTGGCCAAATAGTGGAAAGAAGCGCATCTCGCTCTACACAACCTCCAGCTTGTCGAAGCAGGATCCGCTGATCTCGGGCTCTTATCTCTGCATCATGCTCAAACAGTCAGCAATTACTCATGCGCTTGAGTTTCAAAGTGTTACTCTAAAATACTGTCCGAAGTAGGGTTACACCCAAATCGCTCGCTCATTCGAACGTGTCACTGTTGCACTGTGGTATTCTGGGATTCGAGATGAGGCCTGACTGTATTGTGTTAATATTTACGTATCGGAACGTTTAGTGTGGATCTCTTTTACAGACTACAGTATTGCATGTTGACATAGCAGGAACAAGTGATGTATGTGATGTTTTGTATCGGGATAGCATATGTTCGTTGTGCCATGTCTTCGTTGAGGTTTTACATCCTTATAGGGAGGGGCGGTCGGGTAGCCTAGTGGTTAAAGCGTTCGCTCGTCACGCCGAAGACCCGGGTTCGATTCCCGACATGGGTACAATGTGTGAAGCCCATTTCTGGTGTCCCCCGCCGTGATATTGCTGGAATATTGCTAAAAGCGGCGTAAAACCATACTCACTCACTCACTCACTCCTTATAGGGACCGACCATTGGATATTTGTGTTTATGTCCGTTTATTCTGGGGTTTACGATAATATGTTTCTGTTACAGCTGCAAAACCAGATATTTCTTAATCAAAACCATCAGCCCCTGAATATTTTTTTAAAGTTAAACACCTTGCAATATTGTAGATTTTGTGGCAGATAATTTCTTTTTTTTTCAACAGTCTCAATTATTATCATAATTATTATTTTAAGAGTCAATGGGACATTTTTTTTATATCATTTGGTCAATTCGTAAGAACAGAATGGTATTTGAGAAACAGGTTCAGCGGAAATTCCGTGTCATATCAGGTCAAAATGAACCTCGCATAGTACTGGCTGCATAGAAAGAGTAAAGAGCTATAGATCGACGTCAGGGCTGAACTGGACATAGCACGAGGGAGTGTGTTAGTGCAGTTGTGTGATTGAGTGTAGTCAGTGTGAGATAGACTGAACATGTAGTCTGTGAAATCTTTTATTACACAATATATTTCTCTCCTCTAAAATTAAAACATATAATTTTCCTGATGCTGGAAATATTAACAAGCTTGACATATTCCAGACCATTCATCTTAAGGAAGGCATCAGATTCAATAATACGGATTCAATACGACACGATTCAATACTACAGATTCAATTCCACACGATTCAATACAACAGATTCAATACCACAAGATTCAATTCTAAGCGATTCAATACTGCACGATTCAATACCACACGATTCAATACTACACGATTCAATACCACACGATTCAATAATATACGATTCAATACCACATGATTCAATACTACACGATTCAAGACTGAGCCACTTCAGAGCTATAAAAAGAGCTGGCATCATGATATATAGCTATATTGGTTTGTTTTCATAAAATAAATAATTTATATTCCACAGTCATGGCGCAGGACTAAGTGAGAGATTGAATGTAGTGATTGGTTGGTTGAGTGATTGGTTGGTTGAGTGAGTGAGAGTGAGTGAGTGAGGGAGGGAGGGAATGGCTGCTTGGTGGAATGTATGGTTTTAGTAACAGGGTTATTTGACTTTAATGTAAATTATGTATATTCGCAATCAGACGATGACGCTACGTGTTGACACTAATATCTAATACATCGAACTGAAGTTAAAAAGACACATGTATACGGTAACTGTTTCTTCACTGGTCGACTAACACCCATTCCACTTAACATGTAATATATGTTGCACAGACATATTGCACAGAAGTTGGTTCTACTCCTACCTTAGACTCGTTAGAGCTGATATCTACTTGTTATTTAACTTTGCATGTCACATGGTGGACATATTATTGGGGATAACCGAATGTGATGGTATATTTTCTGGAAAATATATTTTTATAGTTTTATTTTTATGTGGGTCTTTTTTGTGTGCATTAAATGCATTGGTCTATTGTTGTTGAGTGTTTCTTGTGTGTTTAAGCAGGACAATGTCATCTGCCGGGAAAAGGACCCGATTAGTATTGTTATCTGCCAGAACAATGACCTGATGAGCATTATCATCTCCAAGAACAATGTCCCAATGTAAAATATCCTCTGCAAGAACAATTACCTGATGACCTATTGGTATCTGCAAAACAATAACTTGATGGATATTGTTATCTGCCAGAACAATGACCTGGTGGTTATTGTCCTCTGCAATGACCTAATGAGTTGTTGTCTACCAGAACAATGATTGGTTGGTTGGTTTGTTGTTTAACGCCGCACTCAGCAATATTCCAGCTATATGACGGCGGTCTGTAAATAATCGAGTCTGGACCAGACAATCCAGTGATTAATATCATGAGCATCGATCCACGCAATTGGGACCGACCAGAACAATGACCTGATGAGTTGTTGTCTACCAGAACAATGACCTGATATGTTGTTGTCTACCAGAACAATGACCTGATGAGTGTTGTCTGCAAGAACAATGACCTGATGAGTTGTCTACCAGAACAATGACCTGATGAGTTGTTGTCTACCAGAACAATGACCTGATGAGTTGTTGTCTACCAGAACAATGACCTGATGAGTTGTTGTCTACCAGAACAATGACCTGATGAGTGTTGTCTGAAAGAAAAAATAACCTGATGAGTTGTATCCAGAACAATCACCTTATTAGTATTGTTATGTGCAAGAACAATGCCCCAATGAATAATATCACTTGCAGGGAGCTTGTATCGGGTCGTGTCAACATCGCCAGGGAGCTTGTATCAGATTGTGTCAACATCGCCAGGGAGCTTGTATCAGATTGTGTCAACATCGCCAGGGAGATTGCATCAGATTATGACAATATTACCAGGGAGCTTGTATCAGATTGTGACAACATCGCCAGGGAGATTGTATCAGATTGTGACAACATCGCCAGAGAGCTTGTATCAGATCGTGACAACATTACCAGGGATCTTGTATCAGATTGTGACAACATCAACAGGGAGCTTGTATCAGATCGTGACAACATTACCAGGGAGCTTGTATCAGATTGTGACAACATCAACAGGGAGCTTGTATCAGATCGTGACAACATAGCCAGGGAGGTTGTATCAGATTGTGACAACATCAACAGGGAGCTTGTATCAGATTGTGACAACATAGCCAGGGAGGTTGTATCAGATTGTGACAACATCGCCAGGGAGGTTGTATCAGATTGTGACAACATAGCCAGGGACCTTGTATCAGATAATGACAACATCGCCAGGGAGATTGTATCAGATCGTGACAACATCGCCAGGGAGCTTGTATCAGATCGTGAGAACATCGCCAAGTGACTTTAATATAAAAAATCGCTAGCGGTATATAAATCCAAGAGGATAAGCATATCGTGCACCTTGTCCCGGTATGCATCACAAGATCCGAACACACTGACACGAACGTCATATTAATCACACTTCAGGTGTCTCTCTGTCCGTTCTGATCTCAGGTCAGTGTTGTAAATCACACACTTTGCACTATAAATCAGGTGAGTTGAGGTGAAATTGGGTTTAACGTCGCGTCCAAGATTATTACACTTATATAGTGACGTGCATGCATATGTGTGTGTGTGGCTGCTTGTACTAGTCCGGACTGATGCCGATTTATAGTGCTAGCTCACTGAGATACCATGCCGCAGTTTAACATGAACACCCCACTCAGACACAGTATACTGACTCCGATCCGATCCGTCTTTTTTTAGCACCTAATGCCGAGCGCCACACATGTTTACAACAAGTACCATATTTTAACGTCTTTTGGTATAACGCGGCTGGGGTCGAACCCCGGACCTTCCGCTTTCCGTGCGGACGCTCTACCACTAGACCGCAGAGGCGGTCACTTTAATATAGGAAACAAAGCTATTTAAAGCGGCATGCTTATGAAGAACAACGTGCTTGAGTACAGGGCATGCATGTTGTGTAGGGAGTCGGTATGTTTTCCCAGCGTGTGTCCTGAATGGAAGGAATTGCGAATTGGTGAAATATTTTGTTGTGTATTACATGATGTCATAGAGGTATATCCACAACAACTTGAATAAATTAAACAACAAGTCTGTAGGTACAGCAGTGGTCTGTGACCTTTGAAAAATGGACAAACTTGAAGAAAATGCGGTGATCAAGTGCTTGCAGAAAATTGGCTTAATGCCAAGAGACATCCATGAAGGTATGAGTACAACACTTGAGAAGAATGCCCTGAAGGCCTGTGACGTCATCAACACCAGCAATGATCCCGGGAATCTACGAAATGGTGATGTTCTGAGTGAGTGAGTGAGTGAGTGAGTGAGTGAGTGAGTATGGTTTTAAGCTGCTTTTAGCAATATTCCAGCAATATCACGGCGGAGGACACCACAAATGGGCTTCACACATTGTACCCATGTCGGGAATCGAACCCGGGTCTTCGGCGTGACGGGCGAACGCTTTACCCACTAGGCTACCCGACAGTTGACCGTTAAACAACAAACAAACAAACAAACTATATTGGAGATTTTTTAGGGTTGGTTAATACTCGATGGTTCCTTTGTAGAAATATTTTATTTAACCGTATACATAACTTTATTGCTTGGACTGTATGTCGGCCCAGAACAGGCAGGATTGTCCGAATTGACGCATTCGGGAGCGAATATGTGATCGTTTAGATAACTACAACCAATTAAGTATGAGACGGGGGTGTATCTTTTGATAGAATCTAGTTCAAAAGTTTGGATCAAATATGTTTTGAGTGAGTGAGTGAGTATGGTTTTACGCCGCTTTTGGCAATATTCCAGCAATGGCGGGCTTCACACATTGTACCCATGTCGGGAATCGAACCCGGGTCTTCGGCGTGACGAGACAACGCTTTAACCACTAGGCTACCCGACCGCCCCTAAATATGTTTTGATATTCCATCAATATTTAAGAGTCTCTGAGTTGAATGTTCACATTAAAGCTTCAAAGTATTTTGTAACTTACTGGTACAATATACGTGTCACAAGTGCAACAGGGTTTGTAAAACATTCAAGGAAATTACGTTTTGTTTTTTTTAAAGTGGTATAATGTCCGTTAATAATGTGACCTAAAATGAACTCAATCCTACGTTAAAATGCAGCTTACAGGCTTAGTCATTTTCAGCCTGCGTGCCGTTGTTTTTAAATGAGTTGGGTATACACTATGTATACAGTAGAAGTTACTATTGATAAGCCACATTACACAAACAAGCGTTTATTTCGTTCCTTAAACAAAAAACACAAATACATATTTTGTATATATAATTAATATTTTGTCTAATGATTACTTAGTGTTTCACTTCAAAACGTTGATATTCATATAACCTGCATTTAATGGAATGACAATGAAATGTCGACAAAGGTACAAACACTCTACCTTTAAAATAATGCCATACAATTCTCACAAGCTCGATGTGTACGGCAACCGCTAGAAAAACATAATGGTTGACATATAAATAAATCCATGGTCATTCCCTTCGTCCGACCCTGCTGTTTAGAACACTGATATTAAAGATCATATCCCGTGGCTATCAGCGAGCGGTCATATGGTGTGTTTTACTTCAAAATAGTATCATCTATGTCAGCCGACAGCTGGCTAATGAGTCATGATATAAACACTGTGTGCATTGACAAGGTATGGACCTGGCGCGTGTCAATCAATATGTGGTTTTCACGTTTTCAGCATGCAGCGAACACCTCAACTGCTGTGAGAAATTGCGGTGGAAGATTATAATTGACATTGTGAGAATATGCACTTCCTCGAATTATCTGCAAGTTCTTTTTCTAAAACTTCGGACTATATTTTCTCAACTGTCCCATTTGTAGTCGTGCTTATCACAAAAACGAGGCCTCGATGCTAACGTGTGGAACGTTATATATGTATGAGGCTGCCAACCCCCTGTAGGTACGGGGATTCGGGGATATATTTAGAGGGATTTCGGGACTAGGAAGTGTGGTACGAGGGACGCAAATAACATAGTACTCAGATTCAACATTTAGACAAAAAATAACGCTGGGCGTAAAAGTTTCCTTTATAATATTATATTATTTCGATATTTTTTAAGGGATTTAACTTCAGTTCGCTTTTCGCAATGCTTTTGAGATTTGTGTCAAGGGGTGAACCATCTGCAACACTTATTTATTAATAATCATTTCAAATCTTCCATTTCAATATGCCATATTATGCAAGTCACGGTGTCGTATTCTTGGACATGGTTATTGACTCCACTTGTCCAGCTGTGATGTGATTATAACAGTTGTTGACTGTGCTGTAAATTGCCCTTTAAGCATCATTTACCCTTACTTGAAATTACAGTAACCTAAACTGACGAACATAAGAAATGTTACCAACAAACATTTTTAGTTCCTTGCTCCTAAACCCAGAACTAGCGTCAAGAAAGATGATTGTGTCATGAATTGAGACATGGATTATATATCAACATCATTACAAGTTATGCCATGATTGAGAACAAATATGAAGGTATTGTGTCCATAGTTTGGAGGATGGGGACAATTGTTCAGTATTAGATCGATCATCAAGGCGGATATCAGCACATGGAACTCCCTTTGATCCTTCAGAATGCCACAATTGTCAGTCAGTATTGTGGAAGCCAACAATGGGAATCAATGCACGCCCCAAGACGAGGAGAAAAAGATCACATGAAATGGATTCAACGCTATTCTTCTCTGGCGCCTGTGCTGACTGATTCTTGTTATAAAGGCGACCTGGTCGTGTTCTAATTTGACAGTCAAGGTGACCCCACAAGTGTTTGATAGGTTATAAGTTTGGTGATTGTGCAGGCCAAGGCAAGATGTTGTATGAGGCCTTGTGTTATCTTGTTGAGACAGGGTCTGTCCTGTTCTGTCGCAAGAACGGTAGTATTACAGGGTTGAGGGATTTCCAATCGAACGCTCTCCAGTGATTTTTCTCTACAAAATCACCAGATCTGTCTTGACAGATACAAATGCTGCATTGACAGGACTAATGGTGCTGCATTGACAGGACTAATGATGCTGCATTGACAGGACTAATGGTGCTGCATTGACAGGACTAATGGTGCTGCATTGACAGGACTAATGATGCTGCATTGACAGGACTAATGGTGCTGCATTGACAGGACTAATGATGCTGCATTGACAGGTCTAATGGTGCTGCATTGACAGGACTAATGGTGCTGCATTGACAGGACTAATGATGCTGGATTGACAAGACTATTGGTGCTGCATTGACAGGACTAATTGTGCTGCATTGAAGGAACAAAGATGCCGCATTGATACACAATTTTTATATATAAATGCTGTATTATACTGCTTTTTTCGTTGTTCTGTTTTATAATCACATATGTCTGTGCTGTTCAAATGAACAGTGAGAAAAAATTTAACATTCTTTCTGCATGTTGAATTTGAAATGTGACGTAAAAGAAATCTCAGCTCTAAAAGTGAAGAAAAAACAACATGACTCTAACCCCTAAACCCGGGTCCAGATCAGACAACCCAGTGAATGACATCATGAGCATCGATCTACGCATTAGGGATAAGGTGACATGCATCAACCAAGTCAGCGAGTCTGGCCACCCGTCAGTTGCCTCTTTCGACAAAGGGATCGTGCACTACATTGGTTGCTGAAGATCAATTCTGACCCGGATCGTCACGGGTAGCATGGGGGACATATAACTTCAGGTCCCCACTCGGAAATGTAGGTATGGATTCACACTGCTACAACCAGGTTAAGGTTTTTCTCGTCGTTATATGGGCATTTGCAAATTTACTAGTTTTTCACTCTGTGTCAATCCCTACCTATATACCCACAGGGTATTTTAATATCTCCCAATAAAGCAAAAATCCTTATTTTCCAGCAATTTAATCAAGAAACATTTCTTTTCAAACTTGTCGAGACGTGTAATTTCGTTGTACATATTACCCATACAAATTTTAATGATATAGAAATGAAAAATATGAACAAAAACTTGAAATACACCATTACCGCCGTTTTTAACCTCACGTACATTTGATATGCTGAAGTCTAGATTTGTGAAACACACTATAGCCTGCCAACGCCACGTGATCTATCACATGATCTACAAAAATCATGTGATCTCATTGAGCGATAAACAAATTTCATTCAAAATGTGCCAGTCACTTTGACGTGTGCTGATTACAGATACGTATACATTTAAGTGGAATATTCGAGTCCTCAATTGCCAGTTCTCTTTTTGTAGTCATCCAAGACCTACAAGATGCAAGTCAACATTGTTCTAGCATTGATGTTGTGTGCGGTGGCGGGGACCCTGGCGTCTGAATGCTCACTCCCCCCGTCGCTATGGTGTAGTTCCTACGAGGTTGCAGAGGCGTGCAAGGTCAGTCATTTATGATAGTACTTTAATAGCAGTTTGTGTGTGTGTGTATGAGTATATCTGATCTGTGTTGTTATTTAGACAGTGCCAGCAGTGCGTCATCGTGATGGTAATTTAAGTTGGTCCTTGACAGCTGCTTGATGAAATGTGATCTCCGGTGAGATATATTGCGTGAGTATAGCGGGGTCTAGGCTGTCAGTGTCCTGTGAGATATGGCTTGAGTATATCAGGGTCTAGGCATTCAGTGTCCTGTGAGATATGGCTTGATTGTGTCAGGGTCTAGGCATTCAGTGTCCTGTGAGATATGGCTTGATTATGTCAGGGTCTAGGTTATCAGTGTCCTGTGAGATATGGCTTGTTTATGTCAGGGTCTAGGCATTCAGTGTCCTGTGAGATATGGCTTGATAATGTCAGGGTCTAGGCATTCAGTGTCCTGTGAGATATGGCTTGATTATGTCAGGGTCTAGGTATTCATTGTCCTGTGAGATATGGCTTGATTATGTCAGGGTCTAGGCATTCAGTGTCCTGTGAGATATGGCTTGATTATGTCAGGGTCTAGGTATTCATTGTCCTGTGAGATATGGCTTGTTTATGTCAGGGTCTAGGCATTCAGTGTCCTGTGAGATATGGCTTGTTTATGTCAGGGTCTAGGCATTCAGTGTCCAGTGAAATATGGCTTGATTATGTCAGTGTCTAGGCTATCAGTGTCCTGTGCAATATGGCTTGATTATGTCAGGGTCTAGGTATTCAGTGTCCTGTGCGATATGGCTTGATTATGTCAGGGTCTAGACAATCTGTGTCCTGTGCAATATGGCTTGATTATGTCAGGGTCTAGGCTATCAGTGTCCTGTGAGATATGGCTTGATTATGTCAGGGTCTAGGCTATCAGTGTCCATTGATATATGGCTTGATTATGTCAGGGTCTAGGCATTCAGTGTCCTGTGAGATATGGCTTGATTATGTCAGGGTCTTGGTATTCAGTGTCCTGTGCGATATGGCTTGATTATGTCAGGGTCTAGACAATCTGTGTCCTGTGCAATATGGCTTGATTATGTCAGGGTCTAGGCTATCAGTGTCCTGTGAGATATGGCTTGATTATGTCAGGGTCTAGGCTATCAGTGTCCATTGATATATGGCTTGATTATGTCAGGGTCTAGACAATCTGTGCCCTGTGCGATATGGCTTGAGTATGTCATTGTCTAGACAATCTGTGTCCTGTGAGATATGGCTTGGTTATATCAGGGTGTAGATAATCTGTGTCCTGTGAGATATGGCTTGATTATGTCAGGGTCTAGACAATCTGTGCCCTGTGCGATATGGCTTGAGTATGTCATTGTCTAGACAATCTGTGTCCTGTGAGATATGGCTTGATTATGTCAGGGTATAGACAGTCATAGATGAGTAAATGACCTGACTCTTTGTTATAGGTGACGGCACAGTGTAGGAGAACGGTGTGGAGCCCCGTGCGTGGCCCTGCCCCCCTTGTCAACTTCACGCTGTACTATGAGTCCCTGTGTCCAGACTGTCGAGACTTCATCAAGAAACAACTGTTCCCAGCATTCACTGCAGTCCGCAGCATCTTCAACCTCACGCTGGTCCCGTATGGGAATGCAGAGGTCCGACATGCAAATTTAATAGCCCCTACCCTTACCATGCTTACTAGAGTCTGGCTCTTATCAGACACCGCCCACATAAGAGCCTGGCTCTTTTTAGACACCGCCCACATAAGAGCCTGGCTCTTGTTAGACTCCGCCCACATAAGAGCCTGGCTCTTGTTAGACTCCGCCCACATAAGAGCCTGGCTCTTTTTAGACCCTACCTTTGTTAAAGCCGGGATCTTTTTAGACCCTGTCCTTGTTAGAGCCTGGTTCTTTTTAGTCACCTGGCACATCTACCTGTTTTATCTGATACTCGAAGTGATGACAAGCGACTGCTTAGTTTAGCAAACTTTATGTTATTCATTTTTAAAGATGCATTTTCCGCTGAACTTCAATGCAATTATTTGTGTGATTTAGACAGGCTTTATCACTGTATGATGGTGTTTGTATATACGTGAACTTGAACAAGAGCCAGGCTTTAACAAGGAAGGGTGTAATAATATATCTGAGAGTAGTATACAGCCTAAGCATATAGTGAGTGAGTTTGGTTTTACGCCGCTTTAAGCAATATTCCAGCAATATCACGGCGGAAGACACCAGAAATGGGCTTCACACATTGTACCCATGTTGGGAATCGAACCCGGGTCTTTGGCATGACGAGCGAACGCTTTAACCACTAGGCTACCCGACCGCCCCTTGTTACTTAGTGGGATGATCTGCTGACCATAACATTCAGGATTGTGGAAAAATGCCAGTTTACAGCTCTTTTATTACTTCTGGGTCTGATAATGATTGTACCGAAAGAAAAATTGCAAAATGATGATACATGTCTAATACATGTCATTTGATATATTGTCAATATATTTTCACAATCAGGGTCCAACCGAATAAGACATTGTACTATGTTTTCTATGCCTGTGTGTTGCAGGAGAAGAAAGATGGCGACAAGTGGGTGTTTGATTGTCAGCATGGAGAAGAAGAGTGTGCTGAAAACCTGTTGGATGTGAGTCGCCTGAGTATTGAAGCTATTCCACCATGATAACATCTTAATCCTTCATTTCCACCGAAAGTTATCAGAGGATGATAGTGCCAGGCTTCCTTAGTTTCTTGCTTTACAGATGTTTGTGTGAAAAACTTGAAGTTGGTAGGTTAGAACTAAATATATAAAAAAAGACTTTTCATTTTATTATTCTTGTTCTTCCAACAGTTGTCTCATTATTTTCCCTGTGGGGCAGGGTTAGTTAAGACTGCTTATTGTAAAACATTATTCATAAAAAATGTTGCATCCAATGATCTTTTTCTTCATGTATTAACATATACATCAACTCGGAAAGTGAATGATATCGCACGCCTTGTCGAGAAAGTGAATGATATCACACGCCTTGTCGGGAAAGTGAATGATATCGCACGCCTAATCAGGATAATGAATGATCTCAGATGCCTCATCAGGATAATGAATGATATCACATGCTTAATCAGGATAGTGAATAATATCGCACACCTTATCAGGATAATGAATGATATCACATGTATAATCAGAATAGTGAATGATATCACATGCCTACTCGGGATAATGAATGATGTCAAATGCCTTATCAGGATAGTGAATGATAGCATATGCCTAATCATGATAATGAATGATATCACATGCCTAATCAGGATAGTGAACTATATCAGAGGACTATTCAGGATAATGAATGATATTACATGCCTAATCAGGATAGTGAATGATATCACATGGCAAATCAGGATAGTGAATGATATCACATGCCTGATCAGGATAGTGAATGATATCACATACCTAATCAGTTTAGTGAATGGTAGTACATGCCTAATCAGGATAATGAATGTTATCATCCAAAACTGGCTCCCACAGGAGATATCGCTTGGATTAGATCAAGCGATATCTACACTGTAGATATCGCTGCAATGAAATTACATCACAATGCTCTGCAGACCATTGTGACATCACTGGTTACCATGACATCACAATCAAATGACATCACTAATGGCTCTGCTACTGAAGCTGTTAGCAGTACTTTTTACACTGAAGACACTGCTAATTACTGTCGAATGATGTTGAATGATAAATAAAATCTCACCCGAGTGTCTTTTGATATCAAATATATCAACACTCGTTGATAAAAGTGCCAAAAATCCTCGGCAAGCCTCGGAGTTTTTCCACTTTTATCAACTCGTGTTGATATATTTGATATCAAAAGACACTCGGGTGAGATTCTCTATATATCACATGCCTAATCAGGATAGTGAATGATAGCACATGCCTAATCATGATAATGAATGATATCACATGCCTAATCAGGATAGTGGATGATATCACATGACTATTCAGGATAATGAATGATATCACATGTATAATCAGGATAATGAATGATAAGACTGCCATTCTGTGTGTTTTCAGACTTGTCTTCTCAACATAGTGAATGATATCAACAAGGCCTTCCCATTCATTCACTGTATGGAAGAAGGCCCAGAGCGGTCAAGAACAGCATTTCGAGAGGTCAGTGACATGTCTGTTACATATCTACCTCAGTGCTGATGGGGCAACTTGAGGCAAACTAAGTCACTGAGCCTGACCACCTAATCTATTTAGAAGCCTTTTACGACAAGCACAGGTTTCAGGGGACTAATTTTAACTCGGAATCCCCACCGCAGTGATAGAAACGAAAACTTTTAGTCCACTAGTCCTTATAGAGATGTCATATAGCAAAACCTTAACGATAGCACATTTTTACTCGTCCTTTTGATTCCTTACCTATTGGGCAGTTAGGCAAGGTCTGTAGGACTAGTGCTCATTTCTATCACTGTACCGGTAACAAAATTTGGACACTCAATGAGAAAATGAAAAAAAGATTTAGCCTAAATAATGGCTTGCTTTTTTCCAGCTTTAAAGAGCTTGATAATTTTTCAGAGTTTTGTTTGAAATAGAAATCAGACTAAAAAGTAATTCATTCATAAACCATTCATTATGCAGAGATGACTGGGCATTACCCGGTATACTAAAGTGATATCCCAAAATGGCTGTCACCTAAAAATAGCATCATCCGAATAGGTCATGACTTGAATGTGCCTCTAGACATCATAATGATGACAGAATGCATATACAGCCAGCTACCAGTCTGTTGAGGTAGCCCAGTGCTGAAAAAAGTTGGCTTGTGACGTTGAAGGTCTGGGTTCTATTTAGGGCTGGGACGAGTCCAAATTTACTACCCGGGTACCCAATCCCCTATTACCCGGGTACCCACTGCAGGTCTCAAGAGTTGGGGACAAAATGTCTGATTGGGAATTGTTTTATCGCAGCCCTGGCAAAAACTATTTAGATACATGTATCAAACGATCAGTACAGTGAAGTTGACTGAAGCTTTATCTGTATTCAGACATATACAAGTCAAAAGGAATGTGTGCATCGTCAGAAAGAAATGCAAACATTAGTGACTTGTGGTGTAACCACTGAGCTATAGTGAGTTTTTGTCATTAAACAATATATCACGTGACTAACCATGGTTCCGGGTAGTCCTGTGGGTACCCGGGTCTTACTCGGGACCTACCCGATCCGAGTACCTGAGTTACCCGTCCCAGCCCTAGTTCTATTCCCACCTAGGTACATTGTGTGAATATGGCTGGATTATTGCCAAAAGCAGTCTAGTTCACTCATTCAGTCAAACAATATGCATATGTTATTGAAGTTATCCTAGATTGTCAGTTAGCTTTGTTCTCCACCTAGTGTGCCAAGAAGTTCCCTGCCATCCCGGCTGATCAGATTGAGGCTTGCGCCAACAGTTCCCAGGGCAACCAGTGGGAGCACGAGATGGCGATGAAGACAGACGCACTCAACCCCCAGCATAAATACGTGCCCTGGGTCACGCTCAACGGGGTAAGTAGGTCAACTACCATCCTGATAATCTGATGATAACTATGACAATAAAAAAGATAAAGATGAATCACTGAAAATTATTATCATAAAAAGTTGATGGTAACTATGTTCATAATTATCGGATTGAACTCATTTAATTACTCTGATGGTAAGGCAACAGAAAATTAATTATTGTTAGAATTTCATCCAAACTGTTTAAATGTGAGCGTGGAGGTTTAATTTTAAGAAACTCTTTTTACAACATCTGTGTACATTAAGTGTTGATGGAAGTGATTCACATGAGGGGGGGAGGGGTGTTTGGACTGTGTATATGGTGTATTTCTTCAAGTAAATAAAATGGATGTCAACACACATTTCTTCAACTGTCGGTTCTTGGGAACAATATTATAAAATGATGCAAGGTGGGGGATTGAATTCCAATAATATCATAATGACCAATGGCTGTTTTCATCAATATTATTTCAATTAGCATCTCATCCGTATGATATTCTGTTTTATGTTGTGATACTAACTCTTACCATATATTATTCATATAATATAAATAATTGATAATAATAATATTAATATAAAATTATTATGTTAAATATAATGTTTTATTCATGAAACTTTCATGACATGATAAGCCTTGTCTCAGGCTCTATCTGGTCCCATTGGCTGAAAGTGCACTGGTGACCACTTTGTCACATCAGATGTTGTATATATTAATAATGAAAAAACTCAATAAATAATCAATTTGTGAGCTCTGATTATCAATAGGAATATTCAGAGTGATAACCAGAACTATTCAAGTCAGGTCACTGCCACATGTTGGTAGAGGATATAATGTAACCCATTTGAGCTAGTGGCTTCATCCTGCAATAAGCCAGTCCTAGCAGCATCAATCTTTTTATATCAGAAGAAGTGAAGATCTGGTTACACCTCTATAGAATGTTGCGATAGGTCATTGGGGGGGGGGGGGGGGATTTTTTATAGAAAACAGTTTTATTTGAATCATGAAAAAAAAAGTTAACTACGGCCTTGCATGCATGTGAAAAACTGAAAAGACTTACCAAAAACAATGGCTTGTATTTCTGTGGGTCGAACCTAATTGAGTGTTGTCTTGCCATGTGCCTTATATGGATGCAATGTATGGGGCAACTTACTGGTCGAGAGTATTAACTGCTGGAAATACCACACCGCTTCTTCAGTAAAAAAGAACAGGGTCTACCAAGACTTACATCAAGCAAAGTTGTATTGGATAATCTGGATCTTATAACCATTCAGGCATACATTGATAAACAAGATCTGCTCTTATTTGGCAAACTGTGTCGATCTAGCTGTGACTTCTATTTCAAACAACCATTTATTGGCAGACTTGGGCAATACAAATGTCAACCAGATTTTGACAAAAGATGTTATAAATCTCCCTGTTTCAACATGCTGACCCTTGCTCATAAATATGATCTTTTCCATGTCTTGAATGATTACATAGTTAATGTAAATGGGCTAGTATTGAATAAATTCATACACTCACAATATATTTATCTATAATCAGTATAAGAATGATCACTCAAAAGTATGAGTATCTAAATTCACATCAGTTGATCAGTGACAGTAATTGATAACCAGCAGACATGATTTCACCAGGGGCCCTTTAACCAGAACAGACTTCAGCCGGCCAACCACCCATGCACTATTATTAATCCAGATTACTTCAGATTACCCGAATGGCTACACAGGATTGACCCAGAGGTCAACACTGAGCAAACTTTGACTGCCCAATCAAAATAAAGGATGTGTTGTTTCTTGGCCGAATAGATGCTATCTTTCTAAAACAGTTTGGCTTCTTTTCTTTATCACCTTGATTAGGAAATTTCTATCTTAGCAAAAGAACCAACAGAACACTTTCCATTGTACGTCCGTTTGAGTTTAGATGCCAAGAAACAACACTCAGGGACAACAGGATGTATAAACTATCCACCACAATATAGTAGCAGTGAGGCTTCTTGTCTTTGCTTTTGAGATGTAGAAATAGGATATGCTTGTCTGAATGCTTTGCTCACTTGTACCAAAAATTTAGAAGCTTTGACACTGATTGGCTGAATAGAAAGTTCACCAGACGCGACCTCCTATGAAGGTTTCTAAGATTTTCACGCAGAGAATGTCCATCAATAGGTGATATCACATCTACACGTCAGACAAGCACCATGTGTTTCTTGGTTATTCTGACATATGTTCAGATACAAATCTGGGAAACAGCTGTCAAACTGATTAAAACATCACAGCTGGTTACATATTTGAGCATGTCACATTCTATGATTTGAATCCCTTGCTGTGACTGTACAGTGACTGTAGGTGGCATGTGATGACGCAGTGTTCTTGGTCCCTATTACTTGTTGTACAGAGTTGTCTCCTCTAGTTGCCAAGATTTGCTGGTAATGGGGTCAAATCCAACATCTCTCATGGATTAGGACTCTATTAGTGGTCAGCACCATATCCAGCTTTCAGAAAGAACATCACTTTTGTTTTTTCCGACAATACAAGCTGACCATCACTATATGTTTTCTTCTCAGGACCAGTGGGGCGGTCGGGTAGCCTAGTGGTTAAAGCGTTCTCTCGTCACGCCGAAGACCCGGGTTCGATTCCCAACATGGGTACAATGTGGGAAGCCCATTTCTGGTGACCCCCGCCGTGATATTGCTGGAATATTGCTCAAAGCAGCGTAAAACCATACTCACTCACTCACTCACTCACTCACTCACTCACTCACTCACTCACTCACTCACTCACTCAGGACCACTAAAGGACCACTAAAGGACCACTAAAGGACCACTACAGTTAAAAGATTAAAGATGGTAATTTCTATCACTGGAACATGGTGTGTAACGATGTAACTGCATTGCTTATTGAATTCCATTTTGTACTTGCACTGATATAGTTACCATCTTGCTGTACTGGTTTTACGTCCACTTTCTTAGAAAGTGCTTGTGTGAAAATATTGTTCAAGCATAGAATAAAGCATACAAACAAGGCATAACAGTGAATACAGTAGTACATGTACCTGTATCTCAAAGAAAATGAGACACGTGAAGATCCGGGGTAGAATAGGTCTTCAGAAACCCATGCTTGCCGTAAGAGGCAACTATGCTTGTCGTAAAAGGCGACTAAAGGGATCGGGTGGTAAGGCTTGCTGACTTGGTTGATGCATGTCATCGATCCCAATTGCGTGGATCGATGTTCATGATGTCAATCACTGGATTGTCTGGTCCAGACTCGATTATTTATAGACCGACGTCAAATAGCTGGAATATTGCTGAGTGCTGCATTAAACAACAAACTAACCAATCAAAGAAAATGAAATAGAAACAAACAAGTAAAAAGAACTGAAAGGCCTAATGGGATGTTTGTCGTGCCTGGAGGCTTTTAACTGTTCTTTACTTTGAACCTTTTGTTTATGTTTTTGTTGTACCGTATATGACTGTGGATAAGCCGAATTTAGAGGGCCAGAAAACAAATTCTGTAGAAAGGGGTCGGCTTATGTATGGGTTGCACTATCATCAAACTCTTTTTCTGTTGGTAAAAAAACTACATCGTATCGCCTCATGTGAATGAACAATGCTATAACAAACTTTGTTAATGAAAATGTGAAATTTGCGATTTAACATCACTAGACATTTCGATTGTATTTCTTGTTATGCTAGGCATTGTTTTATATGCAGGGATAAAAATTACCGTGTGTATTGTACCTGGGTATGTGATTTCAATTTCCTTATCCACCCAGAGCTACAGATAAGCTGCATATTTGCATAAAATACCCCCCAAAATATTCAAAACCCAATTACTTTCAATTAGCTTGCGTACAGAAACGCATTAAATTAAAAACTCAAATGTATAAAAACAGCTTGCGTAAATACCCAATGAAGCTTTTTCAGCATGCGTACAGTGGAGCTAATTTCCGAAACACAATTACAAGCTAATTTACTTTCCGAGTCAAGCCTATAGTTAGAACCCTTATAAATATCTTGAACATTATTTTTTTTGAAATCTCAAAATGTTAACTTATTTTGGGAAAAACTCAATAGGGTGATGAATAGGTTTTGGTTAGAAATTGGTTTCTCAATGAAAAATGTAATAACCCAATTAAAATATAAACCCTAGAGAAAAATTCAATTGCTCAAAAGTTACTGGAGCTCTGCCACCACAGCAAGGGTGGTTGGACAAATATGAAAAAAAATTAAAACTATTTTGATTTGATTTTTGGAATGTAATTCCTTCTTGGTGATCAGGTCTGTAAAGTGAAGTGTCACCTAAACATTGTGCCAGGTGAGCTACACCCGGCCGTATGTAGTATATATATAGTATATACCCACTATAGTGGATATATGTGGATAGTGTCAGGGCATTTCTGTCCTTTATGCTCAGTTGGATCCTAAATGTCCTTTCTTCCTGTTTACAACAATACAGCAAGCAATAGAAAAACAGCCTTGATGTAATCTGGATGTGTTGAGAATCTGACCCTGCACTTTGAAGATTTGCTTTCTGTGGGGGATTTAGACATGTTTGTGTGGATGTCGACATGTGTTTCCTTGTGACTAGCTGCACACATCCTGGGGATTTGCTTGTCTGAATGTGTTGTGCAATCTGTGTCGCCAAGTGGGATAATATGTCAGCATCGTGGTTCGGATGAGTGAGATTGGGGAATTGGGAGGGAAGGGCACTCGTGTAATCTGGAACTTGTTTTGATAAATGTGATGAACAGCTGATTTATCAACAATATATATCATGATGCACTCATAAACTGCTATTCTTTTGATACGGTTGCTGAGATTGTTGCTGAGGGGGTTTCTGAGCGTCACTTATGATAAACTATTCCAGTGTTAAACCAGACACTTTGATCCACTATTCCAGTGTTAAACCAGACTCTTTGATCCACTATTCCAGTGTTAAACCAGTCTCTTTGATCCACTATTCCAGTGTTAAACCAGTCTCTTTGATCCACTATTCCAGTGTTAAAGCAGTGTCTCTGATCCACTATCCCAGTGTTAAACCACTCTTTGATCCACTATTCCAGTGTTGAACCAGTATCATGATCCACCATTCCAGTGTTAAACCAGTCTCTTTGATCCACTGTTCCAGTCTTAAACCAGTCTCTTTGATTCACTGTTCCAGTCTTAAACCAGTATCATGATCCACTATTCCAGTGTTAAACCAGTATCATGACCCACTATTCCAGTGTTAAACCAGTCTCTTTGATCCACTATTCCAGTGTTAAACCAGTATCATGATCCACTGTTCCAGTCTTAAACCAGTCTCTTTGATTCACTTTTCCAGTGTTAAACCAGTATCATGATCCACTATTCCAGTGTTAAACCAGTATCATGATCCACTATTCCTGTGTTAAACCAGTATCATGATCCACTATTCCTGTGTTAATCCAGTCTCTTTGATCCACTTTTCCAGTGTTAAACCAGTATCATGATCCACTGTTCCAGTCTTAAACCAGTCTCTTTGATCAACTATTCCAGTGTTAAACCAGTCTCTTTGATCCACTGTTCCAGTGTTAAACCAGTATCATGATCCACTGTTCCAGTCTTAAACCAGTCTCTTTGATCCACTATTCCAGTCTTAAACCAGTCTCTTTGATCCACTGTTAAACCAGTATCATGATCCACTATTCCTGTCTTAAACCAGTATCATGATCCACTGTTCCAGTGTTAAACCGGTCTCTTTGATTCACTACTCCAGTGTTAAACCAGTATCATGATCCACTGTTCCAGTCTTAAACCAGTCTCTTTGATCCACTGTTCCACTGTTAAACCAGTCTCTTTGATCCACTGTTAAACCAGTATCATGATCCACTATTCCTGTGTTAAACCAGTCTCTTTGATTCACTGTTCCAGTGTTAAACCAGTCTCTTTGATCCACTGTTCCAGTCTTAAACCAGTCTCTTTGATCCACTGTTCCAGTCTTAAACCAGTCTCTTTGATCCACTGTTCCAGTCTTAAACCAGACTCTTTGATCCACTATTCCATTGTTAAACCAGTATCATGATCCACTATTCCTGTTTTAATTTTTTTTTATATGATCCACTGTTCCAGTGTTAAAGTTTACAGTCTTGCCATCTGTTCTGTGCTGGGATCATGTGCCTTGACAGGACATACGTTAGTCCTAGTCTCACCTTCTATATCGTGGACATACTACTGTTTCAGGTCCACAATGAGAAGATTCAGAATGAAGCCCAGAACAATCTTATAAAGCTGCTCTGTGACACATATACAGTAAGTACATCCATGATACACTTGTACCATGATACACTTGTACCACGATACACTTGTACCATACAGCAAGCAGAGAGATGTGTTGTCACCTGGAGAACCCATTTCACCAAGGTTGGAGTTTGGTGTTATCCCAGAATACCCTGGTTGTATCCGCCAAGGAGTTTCAGGGCCACATAACACATCTATAACACCTCTATAACACCTCAAAACAGGCGACTACTCTTGCCATAAGATGTGACTAAAGGGATCTGGTGGTCAGACTTGGTTGATGCATTTCATCGTATCCCAAATGGATGGATTGATGCTCATGATGTCAATCACTGGATTGTCTGGTCCAGACTCGATTATTTACATGGACCACCCTTATGTAGCTGGAATATTACTGAGTGCATTGTTAAGCAACAAACAAATAAACAAACAAACACCTCTAGCACATGCATCTGTCTGGAACCAGAGGATTGGTGTTGAAACTATCTTCAGTGTATGACTGATGTAACTCAAAGGAACAACTCTCAAACATGTCAAATGAATCAATTGATTTTGTACGTCATTGTACCCTGATGACACAGATGCATTTTCTATATCTGCCGGAGTCACATTTCGGTAAACCACAGGCCTGTATCGATGTCGGGGCGGTCGGGTTGCCTGGTGGTTAAAGCGTTCACTTGTCACGCCGAAGACCTGGGTTTGATTCCCGACATGGGTACAATGTGTGAAGCCCATTTGTGGTGTCCCCCGCCGTGATATTGCTGGAATAGTGCTACAAGCGGCGTAAAACCATACTCACTCAGTCACTATATCCAAGTCTGTTATACAAGCCCTTGGCTGGATCCATTCCTGTGGTTCTCAAATTATCCGCCCTTGATTTTCATTGACATTTTACTGACCATATTCAGTATTAAGCAATATTCACCCACTCAGTCTTCCTTTCACTTCAGCTTTCCTCCCATATCAAGCTGTCATGCCATGATATGACTGAAATAATGTTTACTGAAATAATGTTCAAGGCAGTGTCAAGCCTCACTCACTCACTCACTCACTCCATTGTGTTTCAGGGCACCAAGCCATCAGGATGCCAACAAAGACGTGGGACTAACTGTGCCAGGAAGTAGAGTATTCAGAAACAACTTGTAGAATCACGGAGACACTTTGCAAAAAGTTCAATATTAGTCAATGTCAGAGCAAAAAACAACCTTTGTTTTTTCTTAAAACCTTCTTTTATTTCACTTTTCAATATTCCATCTGTGTTGACTCGGGTTGTGTCGATGCTGTCTTCTGTTAACTCTGAGAGATTAATTTCAGAAAAAAACCATGTTTTTTTAATATTTATTTTGCCCACCAACCATACAGTTTGGGTAAATGTATGGTAAATGAGATAACTAAAAAAGATTCTTTTCAAACAGATCATTTTTTTGGGTTTCAGTAGCTCCTGACTATGTTGCAATGTTTATATGTAGCAGAACTGATTTTTTTGTAACATAACTGTGATCTTGAGAAACAACTTAATACTGCTGACATAAATTCGGGTATTATATATAATATTAAATATACATAACTTGTTTCCTTCTTTTCTTCCTATTGGTGTGGACATTGGTGCTTAAAATTTTCACAATAAAGAGTATGTTGATATATCAAGATGAATTCTTTCATCACATTTGTAGTTGTATACATGTTTTTTGATACAAAATAACAATACTCATTATACATTATTTTACTACATAAAATGACATTTTGAAAAACAATTTGTATTTGTACCTTGTGTGATAATGGCTGTTGTGGCTGATATAAGTGAAATTAAAAGACAGATACCTTAGAGTTGTCCCAACCTTTGTGACTGCAGCTGGTAGGATGTGTATCCCTTATATCATGGACATGTTTGGGCTGAACAAATGAATATACTACAATCTCGGAAACATGCTTATCACCAGTTAGTAAATCTTTTTCCATTTCCCTTTTTTTTTATTTCATTTAATGACGAAACATCTTAGCGTTGTTTACAAAATGACTCGTATTAAAATTTAGAAACCAAAATTGATCGTCATGTTATGTGAGTGCTTCATTTGACTACCATTTCGACTGCATCCTCCTCTACACTGCATCCCCTGCTACACTGCATCCCGTAATATGACCCAGTATGTGCAACCATGTGGAAAAAAAAAAGGAGTGTTCCTGTTCCAACTGCAAGAGGTATGGATGTGTACAATTTGTCAAAATGTCATGTGTAGATTTTTCCAATGAGATCTATGAGTTGGGTGTATGTAAATAAAGAGCTAATGGTACTTAACCTTTTTCCAGATGTATTTGTCCATCCATATCTTGTTCAGACCTTGACAAATGGCAGAAAATAGTACTGTCTTGAGAGTTGTGTAACATCCCAAGGCTTGAGGTTTTGTATGTTGATCTGTTTCCCTATAAAGAGCTAATGTCAAGATGTTTACATGTACATATCATTCCTATTATTTCAGGGAGAAGAGACTTAATACATATATGTACATTATTTTTTACAGTGGTAATAAAATTAAATTGGGAAATTTTTTGTGTTTCCATTTCTGAAACCTAGCATGCCCAAGGGACGCAACTCTGCCCTATGTAACGAGAGCTGGCGATGAGGTTCATCACATCTTTAAATGTATACGTTAACCAAGAAGGGCGTTTGCCTAAAGAAACGAGAAGGCGAACCCAATCCCAGTCTCTGATATGTAATGAGTGAGTGAGCTTTGGTTCAACGCCATTTTTTTAATTTGTAACAGCATATTAGCTTGGTGTGTGAAGCATGCCCGAAGAGAGGTAGGCTTTAGTTAAACCCACGAGCACGGGAATAGTGGACACACTTACAAACATAATCAGGGCGAACCAGGATTCGAGGTGTCTGGCATGACCAAGGGACGCAACTCTGCCTATGTAATGAGGGTTGGCGATTAGATTCTTCACATCTTCAAATGTAGCCACGTTAGCCAAGAAGGCATGTGTAGTTCCCAAAGAGCTACACGAAAAAACCTCAAACGGTTCACTTATACAAATTAGTCTCCAAAACCTAAAGTATGCTCACATAAAAGCTTTTCAATGTTTCCAAGGGAGTTCCATTATCTCCCCTTACACAATCATTTGACAATCATTTGACACACGAATCCCAAGTTCTGAATTTATGTTAGGTTCGCATCAAACACTACCACTGTTGTGCTTACCATGAATACCGTTTGCAATCTGGTTAAGGGTCCTGCATGCTCACATTTGTGGAATATGGGATAACAAGGCCATCATTACAATGGCAAAGCTCAGATCTTTGAAAGGCATTTAGAAGTGATACACATAAGGAAGAGAATATATGGATGTCACCTGATGGAGTAAGCATATACAGTAAACTACGGTTATAACGAACTCAAGGGGACCACTAATTTTAGTTCGTTATAAGCATATATACAGCATAACTACAGCAAATAGTCGGGACAAAAAAGTAACTTCGTTATATCCGTCAGTTCGTTATAAGCGTGTTCGTTATAAACGTAGTTTACTGTACTCCGAAACGTTGTGTTCCTCATAATAAAGAAGCTGACATCCATATATTCTCTTCCTTAATGGTAAAGCTGAATCCAGGCTTATTTTTTGCTGCATCTGCAGGCATAGTGTTCAAATGCCATCAATGAATATGTCCATTGTAATTAAGGGACCAGTTCAATCTTGATTCCTTGATCAGGTGACTGGTCTGAGAGCCTTCCATCCGATACAAGTAAACTCTTCTGTTCAGGCCATTACACGACAGGTCTAATCATCACACGTGTACACTCAAAATGAGGGGCGGTCGGGTAGCCTAGTGGTTAAAGCGTTCGCTCGTCACGCCGAAGACCTGGGTTCGGTTCCCGACATGGGTACAATGTGTGAAGCCCATTTCTGGTGTCCCCCGCCGTGATATTGCTGGAATATTGCTAAAAACGGCGTAAAACCATACTCACTCACTCAAAATGAGCGTATCCGTCATAATGCATTATGTACAACACGAGTTGACATACTGGAAAGCTCAGCTCCAGGTTTAGGAATCATTGCAAACATTTTCACAATTCATTTAGGAATAAGATTAGAGCAGACATTTTAAGTTGGTTTTGAACTATACTACTCAAAACAAGTTAAAGAACACCCGCTTATTTCATATAGCTATAGTTCAGCTGTAATGGCCTGAGAGATTAACTATGATAATGTGAAAGAATCGGGTGTTCTTTAATTTCTTTAGAAGTATATTTCAATCAAAGTAAAGCTACAGTCAGTCACAGACAATGCGACCGCGATGCAACCTCTTTGCGACTTACTTCCTTTGCGACCGACTGAGATCGCTGAGACCGATGCAACTACTTCTGTCCATAATTGGAATAAGCGTATGATCGCCGATCAATCAGCGATAGGTTTTGCAACTTGTCAGTGATTGATCGGCAACTGTTCACCGCAGATACGGCGAAATGTTTGCAACCGGTTGAGACCGATCGGTGACTAGTCAGCGAATCGTCGGTGACTTGTTGCAACTGAACGGGGACTGGTCCGTGACTAGTTGGTGATCTATCACCGATCAAAACATAATGGTTTTATGAATAAAATTATTTCTTTGCAAGTTGTCCAGATGCTAACAGCAGTTGCTCCGCCTGCAAAGAATAAATCAAAATGGTGCAGTTGCTGCCATGATGATGTACAGAAGAATGAGAAGGACAAGGCGAAATCAGTATTGACTGTTGTCTCCTATTGTATCTTCTACAATTTCTGGCTCTTTTGTGTTCCTGCCTTTACGGAACATAGTGATGAATGGAAATAATTTATGTGAACTCTCTGAGTACTTATGGCAAAATGATTCTGTAATGCACAGAAAGGTCTTTTTCCAGACGGTGACATGTTGCAAAAACAACGGCCAATGATCGACGCACGCTTGGAAACCACTTTGCAACCTGATCGACAACCAGTCACCGATGAAGCGCCGGTGGATCACCGCCTCATCACTGATCAATCACCGATAGGTCGCCACTAGGTTGCAAAGAGTCAACACATGTCTCCAAGTCACGTTAGTACCGGGTATGTCCACCGTGAGCGTCAATACACGCAAGGACACGTCTACGGGATGATGACGTCAGACGTCTGATGACGTTGGGGGGATGCGTTGACATTCATGGAGGAGGCATTGTTCCAATTCATGGAGGTTAACTGGAGGCACAGGGCGATTCCTGACTTTGAGGCCGAGAATTCCCCACATGTGTTCGATTGGGTATCATTTTCCAACACGATAATGCGAGGCCTCACACGGCAAGGCTGACCCAGAACTTCCTAGCAAACGACAACATTCACGTTTCACCTGATGGAGTAAGCATATACAGTAAACTACGGTTATAACGAACTCAAGGGGACCACTAATTTTAGTTCGTTATAAGCATATATACAGCATAACTACAGCAAATAGTCGGGACAAAAAAGTAACTTCGTTATATCCGTCAGTTCGTTATAAGCGTGTTCGTTATAAACGTAGTTTACTGTACTCCGAAACGTTGTGTTCCTCATAATAAAGAAGCTGACATCCATATATTCTCTTCCTTAATGGTAAAGCTGAATCCAGGCTTATTGTTTGCTGCATCTGCAGGCATAGTGTTCAAATGCCATCAATGAATATGTCCATTGTAATTAAGGGACCAGTTCAATCTTGATTCCTTGATCAGGTGACTGGTCTGAGAGCCTTCCATCCGATACAAGTAAACTCTTCTGTTCAGGCCATTACACGACAGGTCTAATCATCACACGTGTACACTCAAAATGAGGGGCGGTCGGGTAGCCTAGTGGTTAAAGCGTTCGCTCGTCACGCCGAAGACCTGGGTTCGGTTCCCGACATGGGTACAATGTGTGAAGCCCATTTCTGGTGTCTCCCGCCGTGACATTTCTGGATATTGCTAAAATTGGCTTTAAACCATACTCACTCACTCAAAATGAGCGTATCCGTCATAATGCATTATGTACAACACGAGTTGACATACTGGAAAGCTCAGCTCAAGGTTTATGAATCATTGCAAACATTTTCACAATTTATTTAGGATGGGCTGGGGGTGTATCTAAAAACTTAAACTTGAGGAATTATGTTTTATCCTGCATTGAACCTTTCAGTTGCCCCCTTAGATAGCCATGAACTGCGAGATTAATATACACGATAAGATTAGAGCAGACATTTTAAGTTGGTTTTGAACTATACTACTTAAAAGAAGTTAAAGAACACCCGAATCTTATAGCTATAGTTAATCTGTAATGGCCTTAGAGATTCGGGTGTTCTTTAATTTTTCTAGTAGTATATTTCAATCAAAGTAAAGCTACAGTCAGTCACAGACAATGCGACCGCGATGCAACCTCTTTGCGACTTACTTCCTTTCAACCGACTGAGATCGCTGAGACCGGTGCAACTACTTCTGTCCATATTCGGAATATGCGTATGATCGCCGATCAATCAGCGATAGGTTTTGCAACTTGTCAGTGATTGATCGGCAACTGTTCACCGCAGATACGGCGAAATGTTTGCAACCGGTTGAGACCGATCGGTGACTAGTCAGCGAATCGTCGGTGACTTGTTGCAACTGAACGGGGACTGGTCCGTGACTAGTTGGTGATCTATCACCGATCAAAACATAATGGTTTTATGAATAAAATTATTTCTTTGCAAGTTGTCCAGATGCTAACAGCAGTTGCTCCGCCTGCAAAGAATAAATCAAAATGGTGCAGTTGCTGCCATGATGATGTACAGAAGAATGAGAAGGACAAGGCGAAATCAGTATTGACTGTTGTCTCCTATTGTATCTTCTACAATTTCTGGCTCTTTTGTGTTCCTGCGTTTACGGACCATAGTGATGAATGGAAATAATTTATGTGAACTCTCTGAGTACTTATGGCAAAATGATTCTGTAATGCACAGAAAGGTCTTTTTCCAGACGGTGACATGTTGCAAAAACAACGGCCAATGATCGACGCACGCTTGGAAACCACTTTGCAACCTGATCGACAACCAGTCACCGATGAAGCGCCGGTGGATCACCGCCTCATCACTGATCAATCACCGATAGGTCGCCACTAGGTTGCAAAGAGTCAACACATGTCTCCAAGTCACGTTAGTACCGGGTATGTCCACCGTGAGCGTCAATACACGCAAGGACACGTCTACGGGATGATGACGTCAGACGTCTGATGACGTTGGGGGGGATGCGTTGACATTCATGGAGGAGGCATTGTTCCAATTCATGGAGGTTAACTGGAGGCACAGGGCGATTCCTGACTTTGAGGCCGAGAATTCCCCACATGTGTTCGATTGGGTATCATTTTCCAGCACGATAATGCGAGGCCTCACACGGCAAGGCTGACCCAGAACTTCCTAGCAAACGACAACATTCACGTTTCACCTGATGGAGTAAGCATATACAGTAAACTACGGTTATAACGAACTCAAGGGGACCACTAATTTTAGTTCGTTATAAGCATATATACAGCATAACTACAGCAAATAGTCGGGACAAAAAAGTAACTTCGTTAT